CTCCGAACGGACTCGAGCGCCCTCCGAGGATTTGCCCGGGCAGATCTCGGAGCATCCCCCGTCGGCCACCCTCTCGAGGAGGAGGAGGGTCCCAGGGCCACCCCCAATGAGCAGGCGCCTGCTACATCTTCTGCCCCCTCCCATCTCTCTCCTGTCCCTGCTTCCCCTGCCTCTCTCTTCCGTCTCCTGCCCCGGGCGCCCCCCCCCCCCCCCTCTTGCCCCCCCCTCTCTCTCTCCGGGAGCGGGGGCAGGGCGTCCAGCGCGCCCCCTCGGTCGAGGGCGAAGCGCCGACAGCCGGAGAGACGGGCTCGGTCCGAGCAGCCTCCCGAGCACAAAAGGGAGAGGGTCGATCCTCCGCTTGGCCCTTCCCCGCCGGTCGCCCCTCGCCCCCCCCCCCTTCGGGCCCCGAGGCTTCGGCCAGAAGTGGAGGGGGGAACCGGGCAGGCAGGCGACCGTCGGCGACTGATGGAGCCACGGAGGCCGGTCAGCCAGATGGCGCCGGACCTCGAAGCGCCTCCTTCCGCTCGCCCCCCTGCTCGAGGCAGGAGCCGCTCCCTGACGGGAGAGGCCTCCGACGTCCTCGGCCTCCCTGGCGGCGTCGGTGGCGGCGCCCAGGCTGGGCCGGTCATCCCGGGGGAAAATTTCGAAGGGTCCGAGGCGTCTGCCACCGGTAGGGGGTCCAGGGGGAGGTCTCTCTGACGAATCCGACGCCGGCTGAGCGGGGCAAGTTCGGAGCCTCCGACGCTGAAGAGTGGGGGGCGATGATGGGCGCCGGAGCTGTCGAGGTGATTCCCCCCTCGAAGGCGGAAGCCGCGCGGGAGGCCCACCCCGACAGGACCGCGTCCAGTCGGGCGGTCCGTCGCTGGGAGCCGGTGGAGGGAACCACCCAGGGGCCCTGACGCTAAATCGCGGCGGCGTGTCCGCGGCCGCCATGATCCCAATTCTGGAGCCCCGGTCGTCCATGCTACTGCGCCGCAGACGTCGAGTATTATTGCAAGTTGTTATGAACCTAGGTCTGCTTGCGGACGTCGCCGGCGTGAAAATTCATCGCGTCAGTCTGGCCCCATGTCCAGGCCCCGGGGGCAGATCTACGCACTGTTAATTTCTTATTATGCGACAGTTGTTTGCTTTTTTCGTGGGTGGCCAAGACTCTGTCATATTTATCTTTTCTATCCCGAGCATCTTCCTGGCCGCTGGGGGGGGGGGGGCAGGGGGAATTAGAAGCGAGCGCAATTTGAAATGGGCACGGTTAGAAATTGACGACGATTACGTAGAGCCATGCGAGGGGATTAACCTGCCATGGCTCACTTACCCTCCTAAATGTCAACGTCAACGGCCTAGTCGACGCTCCGATGGCCTGGCGGAGGACGGCGGTCACCTTTCTCGAGCGTCGCGGTTTCTCCCGGTCTCTACTCGAACCCTGTTGGTGGATTTAGATGCAGGCCCGACGGGGGCATCAAGAATGCGATGCAGCTCGAAGTCGACGACCTTTTCATTGGGGGCGCCTTGCCAGATGACCGACAGCGGCTTCGAGAGGGCCTGGGATCAAGATTCCGTTTCGGGAAGCATCGAGACTGCGGGGCCGGGCCCCTGGATTTCGCCGGAAGCAGAATTGCCATCGGGCCCGGGAGGGCCACCGTGGATATGGAAAAATACATCCTGGAAGAAATGCATCCTTGATCGGTGGCTCGTGGGCGACTTTTCCGGAAGGGTGCCCCTCTTGAGCCGGCGCGGTTCAAGGCCCTCCGTTCACTCGCGCATAAGTTCAACTGGCTCGGGCGAGAGGTTCGTTCCGAGGCAGCGGGTGCAGCGACTATATTGGCCAGCCGATTGAAGTCAGCCACGACTGGAGACATCGCCCTGGCCAACATGCTTGTCAGACACTTCTGGTCCACAGCGTCCAGGGGCGCAATCGTCTGGGGGCTAGGTCCCGACAAGATGGCTTTCGCATCATTCTCTGGCGCCAGAGGCGCAGGCGCCTTCGACGGCATGCGCGGCGAAAGAGGATTTCCCGAGGGCCCGGCCCGCGGCGCGTGGATGGCGCTGGCCCGCGACCGAGCCACGCTGGACAACCAAACCGTGAGGGCGCCCATCCTCGGCCGGAGACTCTCTCAGTTTCAGCGGGAGGTTCTCGCGGCCCTGGCCGGGGAAACCCGAGCCCTCTCCGCGGCAGCGGCGGAAGTTGAGTGCCTTCAGATCCTGGATCGAGATGTCGCGTTTGGCGACGTGAGCGCCCGTGATCACCGCGGAAGGTCCGGCCCATTCACTACGGTGTTGCGCCGTGATTGCCGATTCGGATCGCGAGACAGACAGATGCAGCACGCGGTGGACGCAAAATCCATCTACGACACCATGATGAAGGAAGGCAACGCCAGTGCTAAGGGCCAGAGGACCGCCATAGACTGAGCAATTATCTGCGAAGCGTTAGAGCAGGCCAAAGGCAGAGTCCGCTGGGCCCCACGCGGCAGAACGCCGGTCGACACACCCACCAAAGACGACG